TGTGAAACTCGGTTCTCATCTTCTCTACCTTTGTCTATTATCAGACTACTGTTCGTTGTGTGTGGGAGAACGATGCATGGCATGTACACACTTGCGTGAGATGGTCTCCAGGACCCATGCATCCTGCTCCTGCCCCTGCCCCTGCCCCTGCCCCTGCTTCCTTTTTTTGTGTGTATAGCTTGGAGTTTTATAAACCTGGTCGAAAAACAGATGGGCTATCAGTCGCATCTCCAAGGTTCCTTAGTTTCCACTGTTTCTCTTTTTCCTGTTCCCTGGGAAAGAAGCAAGAGGGTGGAAGAATTGACATAGCTTGGTCTCTTTTCCAAGCTTTCCCTGTTTTTCATCAGTTCCCTGTCTTCGATGGCATCGTTTTATTTTGTCCAGGAATTGCAAAAGCAGCTAGCAGTGCAAGGACAGGAGCTCAAGAAGCTGCAGGCCAAGGGAGAAGCTATCAATGTAGGAGGCAGGCAACTCTCTCCATTCTTATTCACTTCTCTCTCCTCCGAGTCTCCTGTCCAACAGGAGGGCAAAATTGTAAAATACCTAAGTATGCTATTGATTTGTTGTAGGAGGCAGCAAAAGATTCTATCTTCTCTTTCCCCCCGTTTTTTTTTTTTTTTTTTTTTTTTTTTTTTGTTAATCAATTCCTGCCCTTCTCCTATAGGGCAAAACTCCTAGCAAGGCTATTATGTGTAGAAGTCGAGTTCCAATCCATGGTTCTCCAGCCAGTCTGTACCTGTCCCATTTTTGTTTTCCTTATCATTGTATGGATCGCACATTCTAGCATTTTAGCCCTTTTTAGCTAGGTAATTCCGAAATAGAATTTTTGTTTCGCTCCTTTTACAAATGCTCAAAATTTCGGGAATGTCCTTGTCGTCTGAGGTATTTGCTTCTTTGCGACGAAGCGTTCCAATCTATGTAATTACTTTCGTTTTGAATGGTCCCAAAGGACCCAAACAAATGAACTATGGAAATGCTTCATGGTCTTAAAGCTTCCCGCAAACACAGTCACTCGCGCCTGCTGCAAAAGGTAAGGTGTCTGTGCCAGTGCAGACACGCTCACGAGAAACACAGTGGGTATAACACCTATGTCTGTGGAAGATTGGATGCCATTTCTGCCAAGTTGTGCCAACTGTACATCGAACTAATGGCTATGTCCCATCATCTGTGTATCCCCCCCTCCCCTTCCCCCCCATTCTCTCATTTGCCCCATATTTTGCACCCATTCGCCTCCCATAATTCCGTCTCTCTTTCCCCCACCTCTCTCATCTCACTCTCCGTGTTCCCCATCTCTCCCATCCTGACTTCTCCAATTGGCCCCTCGCCTTCCATCCCAACTCTACCCTCTCCTGTTACCATTCTGCATCCCCAGTGCATCCCTCTCTCTCTCTCTCTCTCTCTCTCTCTCTCTCTCTCTCTCTCTCTCTCTCTCTCTC